GCTCAGCTGAACAGCTGTTTTAATAAATAAACCTGTTTTCTTAAAAAAAAAAAAAGTTAGGCAGTGGTGGCACACACCTTTAATCCCAGCACCCAGGAGACTAAGGCAGGTGGATCTCTGTGAGTTTGAGGCTAGCCTGGTCTACAGAACAAGTTCTAAGGCAACCAGGGATACACAGAGAAACTCTGTCTCAGAAAAAAAAATTATGATCCTGAAGCCAGAAAATAAAATATATTCTATATATTCTAATCTGTACCTGGGAATAAAAGGGCAGCTACTTAACCCCGCAGCAAACACTTCCTGAGATGGTCAGCAGCCGCCTTTGAGAGGCCCTGAGTTTGGTTCCCAGCACCCGTAGCAGCTGGCTCATGATCGCCTGCAGATCCGACACCCTTGGCCTCAGTGGACACGGGCACTTGAATACACATGTCTACACCCTGACACATGCGTATACATAATTAAAATTTATTTATTTATTTATTTTAACATTTCTTATAGTTTATTTAACTTTTATTTTATGTGCATTGATATGAAGGTGTCAGATCCCCTGGAACTGGATCTTCAGACAGTTGTGAGCTGCCATGTGGGTGCTGGGAATTGAGCCCTGGTCCTCTGGAAGAGGAGTCAGTGCTCTTAACCACTAAGCCATCTCTCCAGCCCCTTAAAATTTATTTAAAAAAAAAGAAATTCGGGGCTGGAGAGATGGCTCAGAGGTTAAGAGCATTGCCTGCTCTTCCAAAGGTCCTGAGTTCAATTCCCAGCAACCACACGGTGGCTCACAACCATCTGTAATGAGGTCTAGTGCCCTCTTCAGGCATACACATAGACAGAATATTGTATACATAGTAAAAATAAATATTAAAAAAAAAAGAAATTCCTTTTTCTCTTACACAGGTGAATGCCATTTCTCTGCTCAAGCCTTCTCCCTTCCAACCGATCAGTCTCCATGTACCATCCTTTCAGACTGCACCCCAAGTGCCCCTTATTCTGTATTCTAACAAGGACCGGGGCCCCAAAGGCCAAACTCCTAGTGCGCGAGTGGGCACCACTTCTGAGCTGGACATCTTTTGTAGGTGGGTAAGAGAATTGTTCTTTTAATGGAGAAACCTAGTAACAAACCTCATTTCCAGCACCCGTGCTGTCTGCAGTGAGCATGCATTACCCACAATGGAATAAAAGGTAAGTGCTTAAAAACTAAACAAAAGAGAGGCCGGGAAGGAAGGAAGCAGTGTGTTCTCCTGGCTTCCAGTGCCCTTTCCTCTCCACAGACTGCATCCTTGATTTTCTGTTCCAGGGAGAGTGGAACCTTTCCTCTGACTCAGAGTTTCAAGTGTTTCCCACCCCCTCAGGCTGCGGCAGGGGTGGGAGCGATGGAGTCAGGCTCCTGCATGACTATCAGAAGCAGTCTGCAGAGGGCTCTGGGGACAATCATCCGCGGGAGACCGGCGTGTTAACTAGCAGTGATGGCTATTCTAGCTCTCAGACTAAACTCACCAAGACACGGCACTGTTCCGTTTAGACATCTGACTATCTCTCAGGGAACACTCAAGGGTGGGAGAGGTAGTGGAAACCAGGGATCCGTGACTGACAGCAGCTCTTCAGGCCCAAGGCCTTACTGTGCCCCTGCGGGCCCACGAGCCCAGTAAAGGCTCTGATGGTTCGTCTGAGTGAAGCCCAGCGGGTACTGTGTTGCAACCACGATGAGCAGGTCTTTGTGGTGTCAGCCTTCCCGAGCAGGTACCTCAAAGAAGGGAAGAAGCCTTACTGAGTCAAGAGGCAACGAGGCAAAGCAGTCACACGCAGGTGCCCCGGGTTCACACACATCTGAATTCTAACCCTTTGCCCTGCCACTTCTGGCGTTGGTGATGGCAGCCATAGTGTCTGCCCTTGCACAGGAAAGCAAACTGTCTTACGCTGCACAGCATCCCCACCCTGAGCCTCAGCTGAAAAACTTTTAAGTTACATTCATTTATTTAGTGTAGGTAGGTTGTGACTGTGTACAGCTAGAGGTTAGCTTGTGAGAATTGGCTCATGAGGGTCTGGGGGACCAAACTCAGGTAGTCAGGCTTGGTGGCAGGCTTGTCATTTTGGAGGGGGATATGACAGTTGAATGCCAGCAGGAGAGGGAAGGAGGAGGAGATCTGGGGATTCTCTCCTTCCTGAGACCTGAGTCTCTCTCTACTCTTTAACCTGGGGCCTTGGACTAGCCCCTGCTGAGCCAGGCTCTGCCCAGGGGTCATATTAGAGACTTCTGTAATCCCATGAGGCCCAGCATCAGTCTTTCCCACCCACACTGGTGGCAGCTTGACACCAGATTCTTCCTAGCCAGTGAGAGAAGTGGAAGTTTCCTCCCTTTCTCCAAGCCTCTCTTCCCCTCCCTTTTGCAGGGGAGCTGACTGCACTCCCTGAGGGACTGAGGGAAGCCGGGCTGGCTCTAATGTGATTTTGCCTAGATGGAGCTGGCAGCTGGGAACCACTTTCCTGGGCTTGCCCTCTGCTGGGAAAACTCCATGACGGAGACAAGACAAGGCAGCTGGCTTGAGGGTGCTTTGGAGCCAGAAGGGGCCACACAAGAACATCCAGGCCCAATACAGATGCCCAGGCTGTCTTTCCGGAGCACTCCCTAGAGCTCCCAATGTTTTGGGGGAAGGTTCGCTTGCTTGAAGCACAAAAGGAAATACAAAGAAGAAAGAATAAAAGAGAGAGAGAACACAAATACAACAGAGTGTCAAACTTCACACAAAAGATGGGGGATAGAGGCTCTGAAGGTCAAAGGCCTAATGCCGCTGCTAGGCCATGTGATTTGAGGCCATGCTATTTATGATGTTTGCCCAAATTCTAACTCCCCAATTTCTATAAGTGTTTTAAGACCTCATAGAGCTGAGCAGGGACTTAGTTGATACACTTGTGGGAAACTGGAACGCAGGGGATAGTCAATATTCATTTGTTCCACAGATGTTTGAAGAGAAAAAAACCCTCTGACGTCTGGAGTCTTTGTGATTTATCAGTCTTGCTCTACAGCAATGGCAGCTGTAATTTTGCTGGGGGCCTGATTGTGTAGTCAGATGTTTATCAGGCACCAGTAGCATCCCCAGGCTCCAGAACTGGTTTCTCTGGTGGTTCAGGACTGACACACAGGGAGGGAGACCCAGTGTGCATCTCCACCGAGTCCTGGGCTCTCTGGGAACTGGTCCTTCCTTCCTGCGACCAGGGACACATTTCTTTTCCCAGGGAGGCCTGGATGACACAGCTCCATGTCACTCTGTGGCCCACAGAAGGAGCTGTGTCCCCGCTGAAATTGGAAAAAAAAAAAATCCTTGAAAGTTGCAACTTTTACAGGGAAGGTTACCATGCCAACCGCAGCCTCTGTGCCCAACAGGGATGAAAGGAAACAAGGCCCTGGGTGACAGGCAGCCATTGTGTGTTCACAGACTTGCCTGGAATCTATCAGTGGCTGCTTAGCAGGACAGGGCAGGGAAATCCAGGTTAGATTTCAGTGGGGCTCCAGGACAGGCTGGGCTGGGGAGTGCTCTTCTGAGAGTGATCCCCATCTCTTGGTGAAATGTGTGGGTGTGTACTGACAGTACGTGGAGGAGCTCTCCTCCACACCTGGATCTGGCTGTCATGGGAACTAAGTCTCCTCTGGTTGCTTTTTCTCCCCTGCCACCTTTATCCTCTGGAGGAAGGACAGGACCGTGGGGCAGGTCCCTGAAGCAGTGGCCAAAGAGAGAGAACTGGAGACTGAGGAAGATGGCACTGTAGGAGTTCAAAGCCATCCTTTTGCCACTTAGGGAGACCTTGTTTTAAAATGAAAAAACAAACAACAACAACAACAAAAAAACCAAAAAGAGCTGGGTCATAGGTCCGCTGGAGAGCCTTTGCCTAGCATGTACCTTGTGTTCCAGTGTCAATATTTGAAGGAGGGTTGTGAAGGATGCCTCTCCTCACTGAGACAGGCCTTCCAGAAGAATGCCCAAGCTCTCAAGCCAGGGCTACTTCATGTTAGACACCCACCACTAACACACACACACACACAAAATTTCATTTGGTCACCACAAACCTGCAAAGCAGGGGCCGTTAGCCCCTTTTCACCGAAGACCTGGAGCCTCTAAGAAGGTATTGTTTCCAACATTAACAGTCGGTAAGGGGAGAAGCAGGGATTAGACTTCCTCTGAGCCCTGAAGGGGGACACCCCACACTTTAAGGACGCCTTATTTTCTTCTAGGCATATATCTTCCGAGGCAGCTCCCTGTTCCATCTTTTAACCCGAGAAGGTTAGGGGGACTCAGCAGACATCTGGGAAAACCGCCTAGCTTACAACAACGGGGTGGCCACCCTAGGCAGTGCCTGCGCTGAGGCGTGTTTCACCCGCAATAGAGAGAAGTCGACCCGCTCAAGGTTGCAGATCGAGCGCGGCCAAACTGGAATTCCCCGCCGGCTGGGGCATCCATCAGGCTCCACATCCTGGGGCGAGGTGTGCTGCTCCCACGGGACCCCGCGTCCCGGAATTGCATGCGTGCAGCTCTCGCGGGGTCCTGCACCATCCCAGGCCGAGCGCTGTGCAGCTTCCCCCGGGCTCCGCATCCCGGGACCG